ACGTACATCCGTCCGGGCAATAACTCAAATACCGTTGGCCCGATTTTGTTCATATTTTGTACACATATACCCTATGGGGGTAGAAGTTCTGCTCAAAAGCCGGTTTTCAAAATGGTCGCTCATTTCAAAATGGCGGCCATTCTAGTGACGATTTTACAGTAATTTAGGTGCAATATGTAAAACTGCAATAGCAATATGTTTTAAATGTAAAAAAATTATAAAGGACTTTAATAATGCTACAAATGTAAATATTAAAGAAGCGAATGGCAGCCATCTTGAAAAATGGCGGCCTTTACTCGTCATTTTACGATTTTTGCTGTAACTCAAAAAATAGTGGAGCGATTTTGTTCATATTTGTTATGTGAATACTATAAGCATTGCACACTGTCTAAAGACACTTTTGGTAGAAGGTGGCTATTTTGAAAAATGGCCGCCATTGTAATGTATTTTACAATAACTCGAAAAGTAGTGGAGCGATTTTGTTCATATTTGGTATGTGAATACTATAAGCATGGCACACTGTCCTATGACACTTTTGGTAGAAGGCGGCCATTTTGAAATAAATTTGAAAAATGGCCGCCATTTTAACATATTTTACTATAACTCGAAAAGTAGTGGAGCGATTTTGTTCATTTTTGGTATGTGAATACTTTAAGCATGGCACACTGTCCTATGACACTTTTGGTAGAAGGCGGCCATTTTGAAAACAATTTCGAAAATGGCCGCCATTTTAACGTATTTCACTATAATTCAAAAAGTAGTGGAGTGATTTTGTTCATATTTGGTATGTGAATACTATAAGCATATGGCACACTGTCTATTTCTAATGACGCTTTTGGTAGAAGGTGGCCATTTTGAAAAATGGCCGCCATTTTAACGTATTTTACTATAACTCGAAAAGTAGTGGAGCGATTTTGTTCATATTTGATATGTGAATACTTTAAGCATGGCATATTGTCTAATAAAACTTTGGGGAGTTGTCGGCCATTTTTCAAAATGGCCATCACTTTTTATGTCCCCACCACATAGTGTGGGGCCATATTGTCGGCCTAGGCGCGTCTGTCTGTCCGTATGTCCGTCTGTCCGTCCGTCCGTCCGTCCGTCCGGCAGTTTTCTCCAAAACCGCTACAGATATCACCTTCAAATTTTCAGGGATAACTTATGAGTGCATCTTGATGTGGATGAAAAAAATTTAAGTGGATACCTACTTCCTGTCGGCCATTTTGAAGTCAAATGCTAAAATCCTTGTCTGCAAACTTTAAGAAAAATGACTTCACAGTTGATTTCGAAACTTTAACATCTTGTTCAGCTCACTTCATTCTACATCTGATTAGGTTTTGGACCTGTAAGCTCAGTCATGTCAGCCATTTTGAATGTTTTAAGAAAAGTTAGCGCGCGATAATACTTTGTATCATATTGAATGGTGTTTTTCAATTTTCATACTTGAACTATTTAGTAGCTTTATAAATAATTTCAGGTGTACTTTGTTGTAAAAGCCTATGTTATTGTTAACAATAGTAATATGTGATAATTTTGTAAAAGGAAATCAGCAAAAACTCATAATCACTTTTTTATTGTCGGCCATTTTGGATTTTTCCGTCCTAAAATCTTGTCTGTAAAGTCTTGTCTACGCGTTTTCAGGTGAACCGTTTGGTAGATCAATTTCAAATTTTCAGGGATGATTTTTAGTATGAAAATCTAGATCTGATTAGTTTTTGGGCATTCTGGGTAAATGTCAAGGCAGCCATTTTGGATTTTCCGTCCTAAAATCTTGTCTGTAAAGTCTTGTCTACGCATTTCCAGGTGAACTGTTTGGTAGATCAATTTCAAATTTTCAGGGATGATTCTTAGTATGAAAATCTAGATCTGATTAGTTTTTTGGCATTCTGGATAAATGTCAAGGCAGCCATTTTGGATTTTCTGTCTTAAAATCTTGCCTGTAAAGTTTTGTCTACGCTTTTTAGGTGAACCGTTTGGTAGATCAATTTCAAATTTTCAGAGATGATTCTTAGTATGAAAATCTAGATCTGATTAGCTTTTGGGCATTCTGGGTAAATGTCAAGGCAGCCATTTTGGATTTTCTGACCTAAAATCTTGTCTGTTAAGTTTTGTCTACAGATTTCCAGGTGAACCGTTTGGTAGATCAATTTCAAAGTTTCAGGGATGATTCTTAGTATGAAAATCTCGAAGAGATTAGTTTTTTGGCATTCTGGATAAAAATCAAGGCAGCCATTTTGGATTTTCCGTCCTAAAATCTTGTTTGTAAAGTCTTGTTTACATGTTTGTTGGTTAACTGTGTGAGGGATCAATTTTAAATTTTCAGGGGTGGCTCTTAATATGAAAATCTAGAACTGACTATTTTTTGGGCATTCTGGGTAAATTTTAAGGTGGCCATTTTGGATATTCCCTCCTCAAATTGTGTCGGTAAAGTCTTGTCTACTCATTTTTAGGATAACCATTTGACGGGATCACCCAAAGGTGGGGACATTTTGTACACATTTGTGTTCTTGTATGTGTTTTATTTTACAAGTATGTGTGCGATTTTTCAAAAATTTTAGAGGTGGCTACTTAAAAGCATATTATTTTATTTCTTCTGATGACAACTTGGCTAGTGAGCAACCATTTTGAAAATGGTGGCCTTTCTGGTGTGTTGTTTTATGATATTTGCGCTTCGTTTGTAAAAATGCCAGCCATTTCTGTTCGATGGGATTCGCTACGCTTTGGCGTTGCCGTTGTTCTGGTTTATAGAAATATATTTCCACTGTTGTGTGCAAAAGATGTGATATGACATGTATATGAAAAGTGTTACTATATCTAATGGGTTAATTTCTATATGACTTCACAGTTCATATTTGGAGGTGTTCATATTTCAAGGTTTCCTTGAGATGAGAAAAGTGCTCAGATTGGGAGGTGTTTGGATTACCCAGGTGTTCAGATATACAAGTTTATTGTATACATTGTATCATCAAATCTTTAGATTTTGTAAGTTGATGATTAGACTGTCAAAATGATTCGAACATATTGATACTGGTTTGTCCGTCGTACATTAAAAACCGCATTGTTTCACATGTATGAAGAAATAAAACATACAGTTTTATGTGTCGTCGATCAGGAATTATCGACATTTTGACAATAGTAAATCATAATTTATTGGGATGAATTCAAATTGTATATTTAAATGGCATACATAATTTAATATCTTTCACTTCTAAAACTACGGCATAGAATCTGATATAATCATTACCATGTGCTATAGCAATACAACTTCAAAAATTATGGGACTAATCTTTTTTTAAGTCATCTTGGCTTGTCTTTACCACTACCATTAGAAATTGGTGCGATCACTACATATAGGGTGTAATACAATCTAATTCCATTACTATCTACAAATACTTGTATGGAAAATGCCATGGTAAAGATCTGCATTGGATTAAAATTGTCAAAGAGCAAATTTTGTGAAAAATTCAATGACATTATCTTATCGCTCTAGGTCTCAGGGTCAATTATTTGCATCATCAAAAACAAAAATTAAATGATGATCAAAAATATTTTATTAAATCCATATAAACAGATATACATGTAATAGCTGGAATGTGCCTCATTGTCAGAGATATTAATGCTAACATCTATCCAATACAATACCAGTTGTTTTATTGACACTGTCCCCTGAACTCACTTGAGCACTTCTTTTAAGATTACTTTCAGCATAGTTTGGATTCACAGGGATTAGATTCACAGGGTTTGGATCCACCTTAGTTAAATGCTCAACCAATCCAACATAGAAACAGTATTGACTGATCAAAGCTTTATTTTAATTTTCATATTATCTCTATAAATCATATCAAAAGTTCTCTTCTTAAACAAGGATGATGGAAAGTCATTTTTCTGGGAATTTTCTTAACTACAGTACAAGAATTTTGTTGTTAACAAATAAATTTTGAACTTTTCAGACAAGATTAATACAACTCTGAACTGAGGCATCACATACAGCTTTTTCTCTTGATTCAACAATGAGTATCATTTTGATTTCTGTTGATAACCGAAGACTTTGTATTACATGTATTATTGAATTCTATACATTGTACCTAATTTTTTATGAGATCATTTTAACATTACACATCAGTGGCCATTTCATTTTAATTGCATTAATCCCCTATTTTTATATTATTCTTGATAGCTAGTTTCCTATCAAAGGTTTAATAGGTGTAAATCATAAATAACCCTAAAGTATAATCTTTTCATAAATGATATGTAACACACAATCAATACACTTGGATATAAATCTTTCTTTCAGCATTGTACTAGACTATCTCTGCCATGCACAAGAAGGAAACTGAGAGAAGGCTATGATATCTCACAATGTCCTTTCAGTAATTAATGAAGCTTAAAATGAAAGATTTGAGATAACTGTTATTTATTTAAGTTATTTATCATTAAATGTACCATTGATCAACCATTGAAAGGCATACTGTATGATAGGTACAGCTACAGGGGTAGCTGCTAGCTGCTATACACGTACATGAATTAGCCATTGAAAGGCATGCAGTATGATAGGTACAGCTACAGGGCTAGCTGCTATACTGTACATGTACATGAATAAACCATTGAAAGGCATACGGTATGATAGGTACAGCTACAGGGCTAGCTGCTATACTGTACATGTACATAAATAAACCATTGAAAGGCATGCAGTATGATAGGTACAGCTACAGGGCTAGCTGCTATACTGTACATGTACATGAATAAACCATTGAAAGGCATGCAGTATGATAGCTACAGCTAAACAGGGCTAGCTGCTATACCCGTACAATGTTCCACCTTATTTTGTTAATGTAAAATCTTAATATTATTGAACATAGCATTTGATTAAGTGAGGAGCTATTATTATAAATCTTGGATACCACCTGAATTATAGCCAGGAACAAGTGTAAAATATGTAAGAACAATCAAATCTGTGTAGTTGATCCACTCTACATCTTTTTTAATCCCCGAGCAGACTTCCAAATTATCATTCATTTGGAAAAAGGATTTCTCATTGACCAGTCATGATTTGCGGGATTTGAGGCTCTCAGTCGTATTATGAATGGACAGTTATGAATCAGGGACTCTTATTCATACAAGGGATGATGTCTATATATCAACAGTTGTGATAAATTGAAGTTAATTTCATAATAGTTTGTCTCACTCCTACTCTCATAATGAAATCTTAAAATGAGATATGTCTTTCTCTTGAATAACTAAAAAAAGATCACTCTTCCAATGAAATCATCATTTAACCCCCCCCCTTTCAATAAAATTAACTTGGAGCTTCCACAACTGTTGATAACTGAACATCACCCCAATACAAGGCAGACAGTGTGCAATCTGAGATGTCAGATCAGCTTCACATGTGCTTGTTCCAGTCCATGTAGCCATGCCTGTAATCTTCCCTTTATCTTCTTTTGATCATCAGCAGTACAGTCAATCAAGACACCCTCAAAGTTCCTATCAACTGGGCCAACTTTCTCAGATTCATTGGCACATGAGTTCAAGTATGTTTTAACCCTGTGCACGGATTCTGCTACTCCTTGTTTCAATTGTTCATGCAGTTGATCTAGGATTCCATTGACTTTTTTGAGAGCTGTTTCTTGTACCGTATTTCTTGGTGTTGAGACACTGACTTCCACTGTTAAACATCTACAAACCAGTCTTTCTGCGTTGGCTTCAATCTCACTTCTCTCCACTGAAATAATATGTTAAATGTAACTAATACATGTATGTTTAATGTAATTAATATGTTTAATATAATAATTAATATGTTTACTGTATATGTTTAATATACTTGCACACCCTGTGTAATACCTTATTTTTCATATAGAGATTAGAAACATTTTTTAATTGGAGTGATAGAGCCTAAAATGTCAAAAAAATCGCTTTATGGAAATAAGGAGTAAACCAGAAAAATGACCTGCTTTGATAGCTTTACATTTCCACTGTCTCAGCCTAACCCCATAAATGTGGAATAAATTTGTTTTTTAGTTCGAAAAAATTTTTAAAATAAGGAAAAGGCAAACTAATCCCAGACTTATGGGGGTATCTCTCGATTATGTCCTATTGTTCTGACATTTTTTAAAAATTCGCTGAAAATGTTCGACAATAAGTGGAGTAAATGTTAAAATTTGGAATTCAAAAGTATTTCTTTACATGGGAATAGTTCAACAAGTTAAACCTAGTCCAGTAGTCCCCCTGCCTTATTTCTTATCTGACATATCTTGTGCCCTGCTTCTAGGTTTAACTTATGAGCATATTCTGCCAACTATGTGGAAAATTAAATGGAAATGCATTTTGGGCCAGCACCTGTAATTAAATTCATGTATCTGTGCATGTTACTCCTTGAATAATGAGATCCAAGCAAACAGTAAACATACATACATTATGAATAAGAACATATCATCCCATGGAATCGTTTGATAGCCAGCTTTTCCCAAGATGGGTTCAATTTTCAGAAATGTTCCGGGGGATAACTTTGACAAAGTTGGCCCAAAGTCACATCAAAAATGCTCAGAATCCTGAAAAACTGCATGATTTTGAAAGAATTTTTGGCCAGGAGGAGCCAATTTAATTGGTATAATCATGGGCTTTAAACTAAATTCAACTAATTGAAAGCCCATGGTATAATCATGGGCATTCAATAGAGAAATAATGATTCCTCAAATTGATACTTTTGTGCAGAGAATTTCACTGCAACTATCACAGTACAAAATGTTACAGTCTATCGGATACAGAATAGGGATACAGATTTATTTTTCATACAAATGGGATTCAGATGAATGGGATTTGTATGATTGGGATTCAGACGGTTGGCATTCGGATGATTGGGATTCCGATGATTTGGATTCGGGCAAATGGGATTTGGACCAATGGGTATAATTGGGAATCGAACTAAAATATTATTCACATGATGTCCAACAGTCGAAAAATCAATTTATTCTCTCATTCGGTCGTATTCTTAAGTTTTTCCCCCATGTATAATAAATTTGGCCAATGACTTATCTACACCTCCAACCTTTCGTCAGTTGATCACAGGAAATTGAAAAGAAATAGGATTTTCTGATATCACGCAAATAATTTCTCCTTGTATTTCGTCTCGAATTCCAACATGGACGAGATTCAAAGAAAATGACGTCATCGAAAATGGACTAGTCGAAAAGTAGGTGACAAGGTATGTATATATCAAACGCTGCCATATTTCTTTGCAATGGTGAGTTACAGGCACAGTTCCTCACTTTATGTGGAAAAGAAGAAGTTCTCAGACTTAATTGTCCGTCTCCACCGGGCACTTGAGAAGGAGATGACTACAAAGCTGAATATTTTTAACCCCTGCCAAATGAACTCGTCCAGATTTTGAGATTTCTAGTTACTCTGACGTTACTCAAACAGAAGTCGAGAGGAACATTTCTGAAGAAAATGACTTAGTTTCTAACTGTATTTGGATCCAATTTCGAGAATCTGCCTACTGACTAGGCGAATATGCACACATTTGACTTCAAAAAATAAGTCATGTACAGTCTGTTGCACTGCTTCAAAGGCAAGCAGTTGAACCTGAAATATAAGAAATCTATAGACCATTGTGCCATAATATATAGAAAAATATATTCATATTGCACACGTTTGACATTTGTATATTTCAGATTATTTAGTGTTTAGTGCAATAAGCCTGTGCCCTCTTGTAATTTGAGGTCTGTCCGCCATGTTATTTTTTTGAGAATTAACATGGTTGAGAAGCATAAAAAAATAAGAGGTTACAGACTTTATGAGCCAATTTACAAGCAACCCAACATATACAAATGTCATTCGTGTGCAATATGAATATATTTTTCTTTATATTATTGCACAATTTTATCTAGATTTCTTATATTTCAGGTTTAAGGCTCAGCTGGAAAGTAACATTTTGGTAAAAAATTGCTATACCTGCACATGTTATTTTCTGGTACAAAATTAAGTATGAAGGCATGTGTGTATTTCCTTGCTTTTTTCAGGAAAGTATCATTACACTGTTTACTTTTAGTAAACCTGGAAACAGGTGAATGGTAGGTCTCGAAAATTTCCTGGAGTTCCCATTGAACTCCTACCAGATATTCTAAAAGAAGACAATGTAATGATACTTTCCTGAAAAAAGCAAGGGAATTGACACATGCCTTCATACTTTATCTTGTACCAGAAAATAACATGTGCAGGTATAGCAATTTTTTACCAAAATGTTACTTTCCAGCTGTACCTTAACTGTTTGCCTTTGAAGCAGTGTAACAGACTGTAAATATGAGTAAGTAGACCAAATGATTCGATTCAGGCATTTGAACTTTTTCTAAAAATGGATTTTTCGACTGTCAGACATCATGTGAATAATGTTTTAATTTATCGTGTGCCCTCACTCAAACCAGTCTAAAAGTCTCAATCCCCCGAGTCAGTTATAAAAAAAAAATTATTACTACAGTGGGGGACAAAAATAAAACTCAATGTTCACAAGTTGTCACAATGAGCTTATTTCCAAGTTTCGTGTCTCAAACTCTCCCAAGCAGTAGAAAAATAATTCCCGTTCACTAAAGTAGCACAATAAATGAATCCAAAGCTTCATACCTGCAAATAATGGATAAATCCCTACCAAATCGAATGAATGTTTTCATGAATCGCCATGTTTGTTATCCAAGGACGGTTGACTCCCAGAATGCAACATCAGTTAACCGTATTTACTCATGACAGGTTTCAAAATGGCGGAACAGCATTTTGAAAGCTGGCACGTGTCATGTTGCATTCTGGGAGCCAATCCTCCGTTCCGGCGCAATCGGACGACAAAATCACCTCAACATTTGAAGAGTCGGCATAACATGTGAATATCCAATTCAACTTTTGAAGTTCTTATTTGTCATTAGGGACACAAATTCCACTATATTTGGACTTACTAAGACGGAGAAAATAGAGCACTGAATACACTGAGGTAAGAATTTATTACATGTGCGACAGCATGTAATAACTTTTGCAATTCTTTATGATCCCCACTGTAAAAAATCTACCTGATCCCATATCTGCAACCCAAGTGCTGTGTTGTACATTGTTCAATGTACTTAGTAGTTGCTCTTTCTCTTCTTCTATATACTGAGCTTGCTTTCTTAATGCTTCAACACGTTTTTCAAGCTCATCTAGCATAGAAACAACACGATTTACAGAGCCAATTTCTTCTTTTTCATTTCCATTATCCATTTTCGAGGTCAGAACTTCTAACTAAAAATTGAAAAGTTCTCGCTATAGCGATTATTTAGAAGGCTGGGCCGCCGAGGCGGGAATTTCAAACCAATAAAGAGAAAAGGGATTGGTACCTTTATTGTTTAATAGTTCAACAAGTTAAACCCAATACCACGGCTTTCATTTATAATCTGAGTGTTCTTGTTGCCGTGGTTGGGTTTTAACTTCCGTGCTATGCTTTCAATGGTTGCAAAATCCTCACTATCAGCTATAATTAAAACGCGCATGGAATTTCATGCGCTCTCATAGGCCACCATTAAATAAAATATTTTGCATCAAGGGCCGAATAGGCACGGACGTTAAACCTAAATTTGGACTGAAATTAAAAAATAAGGCCTTAAAAGGCCCAGTATGATCAAAAAGCTCACTTTTTGGGGCCTTTTAAGGCCTTTTTTTCGCCCAGAGGCCGCCAGTGTATCAACCGATGTTCTTAATTTTTTAACACTACAAGCCCGGGGACTACAAGACACCCGGGACAAGACACCGGATACATGCTATGCCTGTATGCGTTGGTGTGAATTATCTCTAATAACTTTTAAAATAACTTCACGATTTGTCAAACAAAAAGTCCTTCAAAAAACACTTTTTGAAATTTAAAAACAAAGTTTCACATATTACATTTTGGTAACATATTTGGGTAAGACTACAATATAAGCCAAAGTGGTTTAAACTTTATATGGGGCCTTTAATAACTTCACCAATTAAAAATATATTGCAGATCTTTTGGAAGACATTGTATTTGAGAGTGTAAGGAATAGATTGGAAGGCCAATTGTGCATGTTGCAAAAATCCCCATTTAGAATTAGTCACCTTCCATGGATCTGATTATGCCTTCAAGAAGTAGGCCTACTACGTTTGGAGGAAGTGTAAGTTGTCACTCGTTATTTTTTGGGAATGAAATACCCCACAGAATTCATTTCCTGCTTTAGGTTTTGGGAACCAATAAAAGTCAGTGAAGGTGGCGTTAAATTACTAGGCTATAGAAGTTGATTGATGAATTCAAAATCACCAAAATGACGAGTGATATTCTACATTTCTTTCAATTTTACTGAGGCATTATGACAAAATGTCACAGGTATTCCAAGTTTTAGAAATTTGTTAAGACGCCGACCGCCGAATAATACCAGGCGAACATCGTCCATAAAGAAATTATTTTCACTTTAATTTTTCAATTTGTCAATGGGCCAGAAAAGGCCATAAGATCCAAAAAGTGGGCCTTTTGGTCAAAAAGTGGGCCATTTTGGTCATTACTGGGCATTTTAGGCCTTAGGCCAAATTTTGAAGAAATGGGCCTCAAATTTCAAATTGTTTGGTTTTAGGGCCCAAAATTTTTTTACAAGATGTAGGTGACAATTTTAGAAAAAATATATTTGCCACCTTGTTATATTTGATGATATAAAAATGTGAACTTTTGTTACAAAAATAGCGGAAACTCAAATATTTGAAAATTGTAAGAAGGACAATTTTATTTTTCAAAAATGCCTCAGATAAGTTTCAAGTCGTAAAGAAGTAAAACTTGAATGGTTGAACTACACTCCCCTCCATAAGTTTGGCAACCTTTTTTCCCCCATTGAACTACGTGGTAAAGCCTCTTTACCTTTGAATTTTTATCTACTTAACCTGCGATGAAAATACTTATACTATTGATGGAAACGTACTTTGACTTTAATTCCAATACCTCCAAATTTTCTTAATTTTTTTCCTCAATTACAATAGGTCGAAAATTGATGCTAAATTTGATGAATTTTTGAAAATCGACATTCCCATGTTAAGCAATGGGAAATGGTAGGTTTGCCGCAAGTCATATGACAGAATATCCATCCATCCGAGTCCTTGCAAAAAATACGAGTTAAGCAGGCAATTGAATTTGCTAACTTTATTTAACAAAAAATTGATATGCTTCTTCAGGTTCAACAAAGTTATAGGGCTTTAAAGTCAAAATTGTTTTTCAAAAAACCTCTCCCATTGAAATAACACAGGAGGCGAAAAATTATTTTCAAAAATGACTTTGAAGCGCTGTAACTTTAATATTCATCAAATAAACTAAACACTTAGTGTTCAAAAAAGTTAGACAATTCAATTTTCTATATCAAAATATTTTTTGCTGAATCTTTTACTGAAAAGATATCCTGATTTCTGATTTGCCCCGAACCCTCCATTTCCCATTGGATTACATGGGAATGACGATTTTCAAAAATTCATCAAAATCATCAATTTTCGACCTATTGTAATTGAGGAAAAAAATTGAGAAAATTTGGAGGTATTGGAAATAAAGTCAAGTTACGTTTCCATCAATATTATACGTTATTTCATCGCCGGTTAAGTTAATAAAAATTCAAACGTAAAGAGGCTTTAACACATAGTTCAATGGGGAAAAAAGGTTGCCAAACTTATGGAGGGGATTGTATGTCTTCATACTTTGCACGTGGCCTTCAACAATATTTTCAACTACGCCAACTAAATCTTTTTTTATGTGTTTTTATTGAAATTTTATTCTCATATTATTACGACGATAAGACGATGTTACGTGCGTTAAGTCATCATTGATTCAACGTGACTAACTACACGTTAAGCAGTAACACTTGATTCTGTTTAACTATGTCAGAAACAACACATTTACACTTTTTATAGATTAATGAAATGTACAATGGTTTACTAGAGAAATTTTGTATTGATATTGGTTCAAATACCCCATATCAACTTTTTTTTTGAAAGTTCCAGCTTTTCAATTCTAAAATATTTAAATTTAATTTCCCGCCATTTCAAAGAAAGTCGAAATTTTCGAATCATCAAATATTCCACCATACATTTAAAAAATATTAGATTGAACAAAGGACACACTATTTCAATAATGAAATGCCATATCTAATGCAACTTAATGATCTAAAAAAATATCTAATATGCCACTTCAATGTTTTAGCACATCAAAATATTTTGCAACCTAAGTGATGTCATCATGACTCACTCAGGTGGCAAAAACATTTTGAAAAATATTGAAATTTTGAAAAGATCTATATCAATCTTTTTTTAATATGTTAAACTTCAAAAATAAACCAATGTTGATTGTCTAACTAGACATATTAATTTATTTCGATTATTTTTTGTATAACGCATGGAAACTAACTTTAAAAAGTGAGCAATGTCATTAGTTGCCCGATTTATAGCAAAAACATTGACTTTTGCACGTTGGTGATGATGAGCCTTTTTAATAGATCTCATATCTTAGTAGGGTATCAGTTCAAAAAAATACTAGATGACCTATCATATTTTGCCATGCACTGCGCCTATTCATTTGGCAATTCAGTTGTAAATATTCTCTTGGAAAATACATCTTCCTTTGTTGACTTTTCTTGCAGAAATCGCCTAATCCCCCCCCCTCCATCATTTTTGTACGATCACCGGGCGTGATCTTGTCCACAACAAAAAATGGATTCATTTGTTTCTCCGGGTTTACAAAGTTATAAGTCTCCAAAGTCAAAATTATTCCTCAATAACCTCTCATTGAAATAACACAGGGATCAAAAAAGAGTTCCCGAAAATACGTTGCTGCTCCGTCTCGTTATTCTCACGAATTAGCTTAACACTAGGCATGCAGAAAGTAAATTAATTCTCGGAAATTATTTTTAATAAATGTTTTAATGAATAGATATCCAAAAATCTGACGTAATCTTACCCACCATTTCACATTGGTTGACATTGGTTCTACCATTTTTTAATTCATTGAAACAATGCACTCTAATAAATCCAGTACGCTTGTCCAGAGGTTTAAGTTTTTGGAATTACAAAATAGAAAACAACTTTCCATAAACTTAAATTACTTTTAAACACGAATAGCATTATTTTCATTTTAAAATACAATACATCAAAACATTTTTTTCTTTAACACGACTGCTTAGGTCATTTTGACCTGTCGTCGTTCTTAAAATAAACATTTGTATTGAGCGTAAACAGTCCCTACTATACAGAACTATTTCTGTTATCGCAATGGGATTTCGCAAAATCGGGTGTATACTGTGTTTGTAGGTTATAAAATGTAACTTTCACAACATCACATTTATAAGGAATAATTTACATACGAGGACAAACATTGGAGTGGTATTCAAAGATTCATTCAAAATCTTGACAAAAAAGAAGTCATGAAAATCAAAAACCGTCTGTTTTTCGGAGTTTTGACTCAACAATGGGGATGGTTCATCTCGTTGCTGATGTTTACTAGATTGGTAAGTGAATACACAATTTTATTAATGAAACTTTTAATCATGGATCACATCTCCCAAAAAAGTACAATAGAGTAACCCATACAGGCAAAGGAACACCGAAGAGTTCACCCCTCCCCACTCACTGTGTAACATGTTGTAAAATTTTGAATCTTTTATTTTTGATCAATTGATGTGTTCTTGTAATTTATGCAGTTATTATGTGGTTCCCAGTTGAGATTATGATTGTGGAATGTTTCAGGTCCGTAGCCAGGATTTCTCAAGTGAGGTTCTACGTTTTGCTAAATTTCCCCCTACCCCTGGACATGATGTGGGAATGGCCTTTGTATGCAGAGGTCAATACTCCCTCCCCTGGATTGATAAAAGTCTAATACCAAAATTATACGACATTTAGTGAGCTCCCTTTTCTTTTTTACGAAGCCCCTACTTCGAACGTATTTTACAAACCATTGAGTATATGAAATATATAATATACAGGGGTCTATTTCTCCAAACTCCGCAAAGTTACGGATCCGTAAGTCCATTTACGCTTCTCTCTCAAACTTACGGAGGTTTGGCATTTCTCGAAAAATCGTAGATTTACGGGATTTAAGAGATTTCTTTTAGTTTACGATAAACGAGGTTTGATCCAAAAGTTCTGCACATTTTGCTCTAAAAATCTTAATTCTTTATGAATGGAGCAAGAGTACAACGCATTGTAGGGTTTTGAAACTAAACAGGGTACCAAAAATTTGACACTGAACAGAGTACCAAAT